GGAAAGGCTGTTGGATTTCAAATTGCTTTGTCCATTATGAAAGTTTCAGCATTTTGCAAAACTTATTACAGATATGATTGTTTAGAAAGAAAGAAAGAAAGTCTCAAGCACTCTAAACAACAAACGTGTCTAGTTACAATGATAAGGTTGAGATCGGACGTCAGCATTATCAGGCGCCTCTGGCAGCCGCTTCAGTCCATGTAACGATCTCACCTTCACTCCCATCCCACCCCAGGGGAGGACATCCACCACACAGTAATCTCGTGCGTGGGAAATTAACGTCTCCTACCCCTAACCCTGCGGGAGACGGGGCCTACGGTTTATTCGTCCTTATCCGAGAAGACTAGAATATCTATCCATTTCTTGATATTATAAAAAGGTAGCAAATACTACTCACTTATTTTAAGACCATGAGTATTTGTCCGGCCGGTGCTTGAACCCTCGACCTCCCGTACAACACAATCCGGCGCTCTAACCAATTGAGCTAACCGGGAGGCGGTTAGCTCAATTTGGGAAGTTTTCAATTGCATGGTATGAGAGGTTGCCAGTACAGAATATAATTGAGTTATCATCTGGGTCTTGCAGCTCTGCACTGGCAATTTCAGGGTCGCAGAGACTGTATCCAACTCCCTGGATATCAGCGACCATCAGTTGTTGTTTTGACTTAACATATGTGTAGTGGACATACGCTTCAGCTTTCTGGCTTAGTTCATCTTGAGTTATGACACATATTACTCCATCATTATTAATGGACTTTTGAAAGGTTCCCTCTAGGTGGCTCTCCAATGTTACATGCTCATTGTTTATGGATCTAAAGTATACCTTATTATAGCTAAATGTCTGACCAAACTCAAAAACTGAGACTTCATTGGCCAACGTTTGAGAAAAATTTCTAGCCAATGCATTGAGCTGCACTGACTTTCTCGTGTGTGATTCGATAGATCCAAAAAGCTGAACAATTCCAGTTATTTCACTTTGTTTGTACTTCTTCAACACATTTGTTCCCATTAGGGAGGCCAGGAGATGGTTTTATTTTTTTTTTATTGTATTTTTATTATTTATTTATTTAAGGATTTGTACCAAGTACTGGAGCAGAAACAATAGGACATAGTAATAGGAAAAGGGGGTTTCTGGCACATTTACAAAATACCCTGAAAAACAGGGCAGTTTTAAAAAATGATTTTTTTCATTTTTTATCTCATTTAAAAAAAAACATGTTTTTGAGGCACATTTTTTTCTTTGAAAAGAATCAAAGAAAAATTGAAGATTTGATTCAGTGGGTTTCTGGCACAATTGCCTGAAAAACAGGGTAGTTTTGAAAACTCAATTTTTCATTTTTTATCTCATTTAAAAAACAACGATGTTTTTGAGGCAAAATGATTGGCGCATTTTTTTTCTTCAAAAATCAAAACAAAACTGAAGAATTTTGAGATTTGATTCTCAAGACAATCTCAAAATGCGTTTGAACCATCAGAAAAAACTAATGACAATATCTCAGAGAAAACACATAGAGGCTTATGAAGCATTCTCCTCATCGAATTCCTTCAGGAGGTAGCTCATTTTTAGGTGGAACAATCTGAAGCTCTTCTCTGACAAATCCTCGCTTTGGTCCATCTTTCAGATAGTAAAGAACAGGTTCTTTTTCATTCACAAGTGCTTTTTCGATATTGAAAACTTTTAGAGACCAGATTGGATCTGTTGCTCTTTTTTGTCCACCTTCTAACTCGCCAGGAGAATAGAGATATCTCACGTTTTTTGAATAGTCAGGTCTCTCTTCTTTCAAGCCAACAGGTCTTGAATAAGAAGTTGAACTCTTTGCGTCAACCACCTTTTCTTTGATTGCCTCAATTGGTTTCTTTCCAGTCAATCTTGTTTCCTCACGATTTAATGCTGAAACAACTTCTGGAAGCCTCTTCACCCATTCTGTTGATCTCGTTTTGTCTTTGAAGTTCATCTCTTGGCCGTATTGGAAACTAAAAAGGCGCTCACCCAAAGTTCGATTAAATCGCTCAACTATCCCCTGATCTCTATGAACGTTTACGTGTCCTCTTCTAATTCTCACATCATCCTTTGCCATCTCTTTAGTTGTTTCACCCATGAATTCACGTCCAGGATCAACCTGAAGAATTTTTGGCCATCTCAATGGTCCTCTCTTGTAGATTTGGATATATCAACAAAGTTGAAATGGTAAATTAGCCACCGTAATGATTACAAAAGCTGACGTTTCGAGCGTTAGACCTTCGTCGGAGCGAATAGAGGAATTGTGGGTTGTGTGTGCTTCGGTCACCTAGTCTTCTGCCTGTTTCGCCGATGTATATCTTTTTGCAATAAGTGCAAGTTATGCAATAGATTACATTGGCGGAGGTGCACGTGAAGTGATCGGTGATCTTAATAGATCGTTTAGGTCCCGATATTTTATCAGTGTTTTGAATGAAAGGACACGTTTTGCATCGTGCACGAGCGCATTTAAAAGTGCCTGGTTGGTCATTAGTCTGAAAAG